ACACACACACACACACACACACGTATGTATCACAACAGCTTAACGTTTTTTGAATGTCTGCAGCCTCCTTGGGTCACAATTTGACATTATTAGATCAGAGTGATGGTATTTTAATTCAAGGGCACAACGCTATCCTTTCCTCTTCAAAAGTGTTATATTACCAATAGTTAAGAGTTTGTGTCAGCACTACCATTGACTGAGCTGCTGAATATTTTATGATTAGTAATTAGAGCTCTCTGGTTTGACTCTTCACTTATAACGACGAAGTAAATTCCATCATTTATGCACTGATGGAATTTTGTTGACTATTATAAAGTTAAAGGTTTATATCTGAGAAATGCATACAGTATATACAGCATGCAAAAATATGTAAAAACTATCATAATTTCATTGTGATTATTTGGAGGATGTTTCAGCTGCACTGTTCCTCAGCCTTTCATTTCCATAAAAGCTAGAGGCATAACAGCAGCTCTTATGAATAATTACTGTGTTAACAGCACCCTGTTTTTTGCGAATCTTGATGAGAGTGTGCAATTTACCAGAAAAAACAAAACAAAGCAAAAAAGAACCAAAACTCCATTAGGAAAGAGTGTAATGATCTGAAACGTGCATGAAATTGACAGTTAAAAGCTTTAATGCCATCATTCCACAGTTTTTCATCTTCAAATGGCACTGAGAATTCCCTCAGTATTACTAAACCAAATCAAATCTTTTGTGTTAAGAAACAAGAACATCATTTACTATAGGCCATGGCTGGCTCTATGCCTATTAGTTTGCATAGTCAGGTATTTCCCAAAATTGTACATGTGACTGTACCGTAATCCACTGAGACATGAAGTGATTGAAAGCGATCCAGCATTTAACAACTCACACCTTTATAGAGGGTCACAGGGGCTAAAACATTCAAGTCAAACTGTGGGAAGGAAAAACTCCCTTTTAATAGGAAGAAACAAAAAGCTGGCTGTCATAAATTAGCCACAAAGATATGTCATACCTGCAAAACATGAATAATTCAGTTTTTGTAGTCAACGTCAAAATATCTACGTTGGCCAAGGTGAAATATTTGATAGCTATCTTGGCCATTTCCTCAGAATCTAATGTTTTTCTTTCTTTTTCGTCATTAGATATGCAACATAATTCTTAGCACAACTAGAAGTTATTAAAATACAGGTAAAGACAACCTTTTAAATGCTATAACTTGTTTTGTCCATGGTGACTTGCTTGCTTTTATTACAATATAGTAGACATTATATTGGGTTGTTTTTTCTTTTTAAAACTGTGATATAACCCACTGAGTAATGCTCAAAGTTATAGGGAGAAAAATAGGTAAAAAAGTAGAAACGAATTTGTGTGGTAGCAGCATTTAAAGTTTATTTTAGTAAGAGGGTTCAGAAAATGCTGGAAAAATATGGCGACCTGAAGAGCACCAAATTTCAAACATCTTGAAATTTTCATAGAACGAAGGGAAATTTTTGCATGCATTACTTAAATATGAGGAAATTGTCTACAAAATCTACAAAATCAAATTCACTAATCCTGTGGCGGTCAGGTGAGACTCACTCACTGATATTCTTAGGAAATGGCCCATATATTAAGAGTCAGCGCTAGAGCGAGCACACTGACTACCTTACATAGGCTTAATCACATTCGGGAGGTGAGAAAATTGCAGCTTTTAAATAAAAACATATTTCGTACGTGTATAAATAGCAACATTGTGTGATTTTTGCCACAGTCCCTGAGCATGTTTTTCTTTTCTGATGTAGATCCCAGCAGTGGCAGCGATGACACACCTCAACATAAAGCCACAGCACCAACCAGAGAAGCCTCCCCTGCTCAGAGCTGCCCTCACCCTCCTAATGCCCCCAGCCTCCAGCGGCGCAATCTGCCACCACGGCACTGCTCCCCACTAGGTACAGCACTCTTGCACAAAGCCAGAGGAACCAAACGATTGTGCTCAATTTGTGTATGTGTGATTGAAATTCACGTTTGATTTCATTCCTCAGTATAAGCCCCACCTATTCCCACACAGCTGCTTAGAGAAATGTCTGAGTTTTAAAAGTTATTGTGGAGTTTTAAGTAAAAGCAGGAAGACAGAACAGTTTGTCTGTGACGATTTGAGCTACAGTCCTGTACATGGGCAAGAAGTTGAGCTAGAAACAATAAACACAGCTGTGTTTTTTGTACTCAAGCAATGATTTTTCTTTTGCAATGTTGCTAATTATGATTGTAGTTGAGAGCATAATGACTACGATTGAGTGTTTACTCATTCATTTGCTTTTATTGTCCATTGTTCAGCTCAGTTTGCTTATCAAGCTTCTGATTTAGGACTAAAATGAGTAGAAAATGATAAATAGTATTTAGGATTACTTATTCATGTGCTGTGTTTCCAAACTGTTGCCTAGCATTGCATCACAGCAGGGATACAGTATCATACAGTAGCCTATACTCCCCCTCTGCTCTTGTGGGCGTCTTTATTGTTAGCTAATGCACAGTGGTGCTAATGGTAGCGTCTTTGCAGTGAATGTGGAGCATCAGCGCCATCCTGTGGCGACAGTTTGTATTTCTGGGTGAACCACCAGTCGCCCCATCTTTCCACAACAGAAACTGTGTCAACAAGTGAAGCAGTAACTCCAGCTAGTGGTCACTGTCCTACAGTGATCGCTGAGTCTTTATTTCAGCCATTTTTTATGCTTTCAGTTATTCACTGATTTGATTAATTATAAGGGAAAAACAAAACAAAGTTGTTGTTTGTTTTTACTACCAGTTTCCATGCCTAGGCATTAAGTCTGCTTTTCCCAGGAACTCTGTTGGAAGGATGAACAATATTCTACAAAAAAAATCCCTTTATATTGAGGGTTTCATTTGATCAGTCTGCGCATGTGTACCATATTTTATTCAATATAAAAAAGTGGTGTTATTTTATAATGTTATTGTTTTGTGCCAAAGTTTTGTCTGTAGTAAAAAAAACAGAAGTAGTGTAGCAGAAGTACAGGTTAACCAATATTTAGGCAAATACTTCCTATGAGACAAAACAAACAACAAAAATGTCTGTCTTATGTTTTAATTCTGTGTATTACAAAGAAAATAACACCTTTTTTGTTACACAGTGACTAGGAGAGATTTACAGAAGGACGCAGAGGCTGAGCTGTCACCAAAGTCCTCCCCTAAAAGACTTGCAGTGGTTTCTCCCAAGCCACAATCCCCTGGTGAGTCAGCCCTGTCACACTGCATACATTTAAACACAAACTATAGGCACATAAGGTGTGCTTAACATACCATGATGTCACTTTGGTTTTTTTCCTAACTGGTAAAAAGAAGGTTTTTTTTGTTCAGGACCATCAGCTGCTACTGTATCTTTAAAATTTGCAGTGACTTTTTCATTCCATGTCGCTCCTGCTCTCTCGCCGCACTTCATCCCAGACTTTACCCATAGCACCATGATGTTGCCATAGCAACAAAGCACGGTAGCTCTAATGCTAGGATTGCTCCTTCAGGAGCAGTACTGCTGGCTCAGATTACAGCAACACAAATCAGCAACTTCTGCTTTTCTCAGAGACCAAACAGGCCAAACAGTGCAGGTGATAAGAGTTTTCATACTGCACATATAATACACTTTTACACCAGCATCCACATAAATTGACTTGTTTGTTTTGTTTGTCTATATATTTCTATTTCTATAATAAGTCTGAGGAAAAGTACATCAACATACTATATTCTTCTGCCTGTTTTGCGTATCTGCAGTTCGTGGTCGGACAACAGCAGTTCATGGAGCCATTCAGACCGAAAAGGCACAGGAGGTGGATCGCGCTCAGATCCAGCAGCTGCGGGAGCGATGTGAGCGGCAGGCCCTGAAGCTACAGACTCTGCAGGCTCAGTTAAAGAAAGCCTCGCTGTGCCTGGATGTTTTCAGCATCACTGCCCAGCACTTCTGTCACAAGGTAAGATTTAGCAGAGTTCTGCAATCCCGGCAAGGTCGACCGCAGACTTTGAAAGCCGAGTAAGAGTGCAGTGTTCCAATTCTTTCACTCTTAATCCTAAAATAGGACTACGTGTGTATGACACGTGATTTTAATGCTGTGACTTTATTTCATTCTCGTTAAACCTCCTCCTGGGGTAAAAGAGAAAATATACAACATCATCATTATCAAAAGGCAACATAAATAAAAATATTTGTCAACAAATCACCCATGTCCAACTACATGTGTCCAAATGTCTGTATAAAATTTAGCACTTTTACACTGTATAACAATATCCTTAATATTAAATATTACGCCATCCTAATAACATTTGGTCTCGACCTAAAATACACAGGCAGATATTTTTTGTCTTTGCAAATTACAATTACTGCATTAATAATTGAAGCTAAACCAGTATTTGATGTATTTGAGGGATTTGATGTTTTCTTGCATAAAAATGTTGGAGTTTTAGTTGAGAATTATGAAAAGAGAGCTTGCTTGTTGCTGCATGACTCTGTAACAGTAACATATCTTGATATGTAGCAGCATTCAAACTATTCTTTTAAAATCACCCTGCAAGTTTGCTTTAATGCGACACAGAACAAGTTCCTCACTAAAGTTGCATCCTTTGCAATATGTTTGTAGATTCATTGTGTTACTGAAGGGCAGTGTTTTGTAGGGTTACAGTCAAAAACTGCAATGCAAATGTTGCAGTGAGCTCCAGAATGCGATTACACACTGTGTTGGAGTCATTTGCACAAACCTGTAGCTTCTGTCTTTTGTTGTCAGGATTGCTTTGTTCACAAAGGGAGCCGCTTGCTTTAACCCTCTTGTGACATCTTTTGAATGACTCTAAAGGCAGCCTCTTTTGATAGTTGGTAGTGAAGTGCTGAGGATTTCCAAAGGTGCTTTTTTCTAGTATAAAGAAAGAGAATGCTTTTCGGATGTGTTGTGGGTTTGTATACATGGAAGTATATTGGCATGCATTTGATAGGGGTGTGTGGTATATCTTGTTGTGTCTGTTCTTCTGGTGCTGCTGCTGGATGGGCGACTCGGTGGAATCGAAACACATTTGATATTTAATATTCTTTTTTAATCACTCTTGCTTTTCCTGTATGCTGCTCAGATGAGACTGACAGAGTGTTTTCTGTTCTTTCAGTCTCTATTCAGCACTTGGTTTAACCTTTCCTAGTCCTCTGTTTGCATTTAATATATTTTTCAGCCCCACCCGCTGGTGGTGCTCTACAACCAAAGATTAATGAGATTAGAGCTGCCTGTATGGCCTGCCTCTGCTTTTGGTCAGACTGATTGCAAGACAGAATCCCCTCTAAATTTTAACAGTGGATCTTTTCAAGCATTTCTACCATCTACACACATGGGTGCATACTCTGTTTTAGGATGCGTGACAACATATGCTGATGTGGTTTAATTATGTTGTAATGAGTGCATTGAAGAGGTCACTAGATGGTTAATATTGGGTTAAGCTAGCTGATTTGAAGTGTTTTTGTGCTTACTGAATGAGGTATTTGTGCATATAGATATTTTTGCAGGACAGTTTCTATTCAAAGCAGTGTTTTGGTTTCTAATGAAGTGTGTTTGCTCTGTTATGCACATCAGTGTCTGTAGATATGATCTTCCAGCTGAGCATCAGAGCTTATCATTCTCTACTCACTGATCATCTCCCTCCCCATCTTCTTTTGCTAAATTTTTTTCTCATACATGCAAAAGACCGTGTGTGTGTGTGTGTGTGTGTGTGCGCGCGCGCGTGTGTGTGTGTGTTGTTTCCTTCCATCTGTGTGAATGTGATACGGGGCGTGTTGGTGGGGGTTTAAGAGGAAGGCAGGCAGAGCTGGGCTGGGGCCGGCAGTCTTTGTTCCAGCAGGGATAAATGATGGTCACGAACCAGGAAACGAGGTGAGGCTTTGGTCTTTCCATCTCTCCTCCCCTCTCTTTCCCTCCTCCTCTGTCTCCCTTACTGTTTCTTTCTGGAACTCGCATCTGTCACTGCTGCCTCCCGAGCCGGCTAAGGGATGCTGCTGCTATCTGCTAGCCTAGTATGGGCCACTGCTGCTGTAGGCTCCATTTCTTCCGTCTGTTCTGTCTCGACCAAACGGTAAAGTCAGTCAGTCTTCTGCAGGCAGCGAGCTTGTTTGAGCACCGAGGATTCCTCTATGTATGTGTGGCTGTTTGCAAGTGTTTAGTGTTTGGGGGGGTCTATTTATATGATGATTATGTTCACTTGTTTGCTAGAGACAGAGCCTGATAGACAATGTAAAGCTGTGCATGATTATGCTGAGTCAAAGCAGGCTTGTCTTTCTCTCTGAGCATGCTTCTTTCATTTTATAACAGTTTGCAGGGACATACAATATAAAATGCCATTGCTACTGTGCTGTATGCTGATTTTTCTTTTTTTGGTGTTTTCATTGCATCCTTTTTATATCCCTACTGGTTAACTGGGTTTATTAGATGTTATTATATATTATATATACATACATATATATTATAGTTTCCTGTGTGTTAACTATGCACTCTTCTGCTTGGGACAAAGTCTAAATAAAAAAACAGCTGCACACTGAAAGCTGTTTGTGGTACCACTAATTAGATCAACTAACTTAGTAATATTTTGTACTCTAGTGAAATTATTGTAATAATAAGTTGATTTATTAGATTAAAGTAATACAGACTGAAAAATTTAATTAATACAGACATTAATAATAAACAAAACTATAGAAAATTTGTTTAGGCTTCTCTAATTTGAGAACTTGGTTCTTTTTTT